CGTCACACGGCGCAAATATGTATTGCCGCCGAGGTACTAAAGGCATTATGAACAAATTTTGTGAAGTGTTAAAACTTGTTTTCTGACTATCAAACGTCAATCATAGCCGATTCATTAGTTACTTATCCGTAGTGTCCGAAGGTTTCGATGAATGTACATTCGTTATAGTTTCATGCGTCTGATGCCAGTAGAAGAAAAGTAAGACGTGATGTTTTGGCGTTATTTTGCGGTCTGGCACTATAGATCATACTAGAGTACGTAGTTTATACTAGTAATATTACAAACAGAGACCATCGCAGGGCAACTTTTTTCGCCCTGTCCTGTCTGCTCTGGCTTGTCCTTCCCTGTCAGAAAATTACTCATAAAACTTTTTGATCGTGCAGTGCAAAAGAAAGTTTGTCAAGAAAGTCATCACAAATACTGGATGTGTTTCTTGCACGTAACAGAATCTTTCTTTTATTAATTATCAATTTGAGAAAAGTTGGCTGTCATTTTTATTTTCACATATACAAGAGATCTCAAAATTTTACTTAAAAACAAGCTTGAAAATCTCAAAAATCAATCTCTCGCAGGGCAAATCAAGGAATTGTTTGTGGCCCTATCCTGCAACAGGGCCGGGCAAAAAAAATATATCGTTCTGCTCGGCAGGACAGGGCGGCAAGACACCAGGGTAGCCCTGTCCTGCGATGGTCTCTAATTACAAACGAACTTGCGCCTCAGCTGGAATTAAGTTTGCTCGAAGCAGCTAGTTGCAGTATAACTGGAGGTTCCGAGTTTGTATTAATATCCACTATAGTAGTGGTCGGTTGACTTGGAAATGTATTGACTGCTCTATCGGAAATATGGTGATGAAAAATTCCTACAGAAGGTGCTTGTTCGTGTGTACGAGTTGAATTTAGACTCGTAGATTGTGCAATAGTAGGGCGACGATGCCGATAGCTTTTGATTGATAATTAATTTCATACGATTGCCGGCATAGAATTTGCTTAAGTTTTCATAACCAATAGAGACGGCTTAACGCAAAATGATTGGTCTTGCCATTAACGAACAGATCGACGGGTGAAGGTATGGTAGATATAGGATTGCAACGACGGTTTTGTAAATCGTACAAATAGTCCAGGATTTCCAGAGAGGAAACCGTAAAATCAGTTCGAGCGAAAGAGGAGGGTACGATCGATGTTTGGATGTACAGTGTGACCAACGTACGCGGTATAAGGCACTTACCAGAATACTCTTTGATATGTTGACGCCCTCTTTATAGCAATTTAGTAATATGACTTGAAAAATAACTTTAGTACTTTATCAGGTTAATCACAGTTTACGATAATGGATTGCAGTTCAAACTGCGAGTTCGCTTATGTAAACTAGAGATATTCGAAAAAAACTATACTTGTTGGAATTGACCTGTTTTAGAGAGTTTAAGGAGCTAATGGCTAGAATTTAACGAGAAACATATCACAGAAAAAAAAGTAAAGTTGATTTTGAGTTGCTGGAAAGTGCTATTTCGTATTCAGTACACACGATAACTTGGAAAATTTTCTATTTTTGGCGAGAGGTACTTCGAAAAGTTTAGGAAAAGTTTTGAAACTAATATTATTTTCCGATGGAAATTTTTTTGGGCCATTTTGTTTCAAAATGTTTTCCTAAACTTTTGGAAGTACCCCTCACCAAAAATAGAAAATCTTCCGAGTTATCGTGTGTACTGAATAAGAAATAGCACTTTCCAGCAACTCAAAATCAACTTTATTTTTTTTGTTCCAGTGATATGCCATATGAATATTCAAAGTAAATTGCGGAAGTTGTTACGAGAAAGCTATTGTAAGAAAAAACATCGATGCTTTTTAAGCGTATTTAGAACGATAAAATCGTTGATATCTTCATATTTAAAAGTATATATCGTACTATCAGTTGTCTAGTGCTCTACAGATGCGTACTAAGTGATCATAAGTACGGTTAGAACGTGGTGTCGCTATGATAGCTACGCAAGTTTAATACATCTTCGGATATTGAAGAGCCAGTTTTGATAAAAAAGACAAAATGAACTAATTTCTTTTTGGTGATTCATTGATATGCCGTTTTTGCTTTTGTAGATGTAGTTATATCACGTTCATAGTAAGTGATCATTATTGTTTATTAGCTCTCCGTGAATGTGTTCGTTAAATGGTGTTGTCATTGATTGTTACCCGTCGTTCCTCATTTGAATCGAACTTTGTTTTGACGCTGAATATTTGCTAACTTGTGAATCTACCGCGCTTGTGAATCATACAAACATATCATTTATCTTTATCGGTCACTATTGGGTAGCGGTTTTTATTTTTCCTTGAAAGTTACCTAAATATTGCATTTTACTCAGAATAACAAGTACTTCAAAGCTAAATACCTCTTCTGCCACATCCTCTCAACCTTTTCACAGAGAATTTCGTTCTTCCCTCGTTTGAGATTGATAAAACAAGAATAAAAAAGCAAGCGACGTCTAAGGAGAATCAAAAGAAAAAACTTTTTCCAGCACATTTTAATGCCAAAATATATTGAAAATGAAATTATGTTGCAAAAGTTGCGTTCTTTTTCTCATCATAAAAGTCCATGACGAGACATTCCTTGGTTGTTTCCTTGGTATAATTCGACTTAGTTACGAGAATGTTCATCAACATGACTCTGTACGAGATACTGATTCATTATTCTCGAGCACCCTCGATCATAATACGTTACTTCGTCTTTGTCAGATGCACTTAGTGATTATCAGAATCAAAGCAATCATAGCCATGTATCACGCTCTTTCTGCCTTTGCCACATAGAAAATACTTTGATGTTAGTACGTAGTGTCGGTGACGTTTCGATTTTTTAATGCGCGTGAGAAACAACCTGTTGACTGCAGTGACAAAAATGACGCTACACTTAATGCTTTGCCCCATTCGATTAAAATCCTGCTTCTCACTCGAAAAAGAACGCAAATTTAAAACACAAGTTTATTTTCAATGTATTCTGACATTAAAATGATCCGGCAAAAGCTTTTCCCTCTCATTCTTCTTAGACGTTGCTTGCTTTTTATGTATGAGCTAACTCTTCTTTATCATTCGACGGACAATGTCGGAAGAATAATCTATTAATCCGCATTTAGTTCCCACCAGAATAACCTCGGTAATTTCTCTTGTTTTTTTATCTTACTGAGAACAAAGGAAAAGCCGATTATGAACACTCAATGGTACATGTTATATTCTATTTTTTTGCGTTTTTAACCCTTTAAAACCCAATGTCCATTTGAATGGGCATTGGCATTATCATTATAACAAACTGAGGAAACATTGCTTGAAAAACTAATCTTGTGCTGATTGCAGAGAATTAAATTGGCTATCGAATGGTAAAAAAATATTTTGTCTATGTTTTATGCTAACTGATATATATAAATTTTAAGATAACGTATATTTTTGAAAAAATTTAATTTTTTTGAAGTACTTTAGTAAAAGCATTTCATTCAACAACCTTTCAGAAATATGTAGGGAGGCGTGCTCAAATTATGTCCACTGAAGAAATTATTGTTTTAAACTGTAGGCTGCTGATGGTACCAAACGAAAAGTGATGTTTTGCTGGAATTTCGGGCTCGTATTCTTGGTTTTCTTCATCATGTGAGCTTATTTTCCGTTTCAACTTCCTCAAACTTAATGGTCTAATTCAGATATGTTTCGTCTTTGATATAATAATTTTTTGCGGTTGACCCAAAACTAAGCATTAAAGCCTTGAAAGGGTTAAATAGATGATATTTTTCGTAATACTAATACGCAAGATTGAAAAAATTCATGTGAAATACAACGGGGCATAAGTTTTTATTATGGTTGACTACTGATTGAAATATGTTTAAACAACTTTTACAACTTGCGAAGGATACTGTTACATTGTTATTTTCTAAGCTCATAAGAAGCAATAGGAGAAAAATAATTAGATAATATCACACAGAAATAATGTTTTAATGAATGAAAAGGATAACAAGAAAATGCACGAAAACAAAGACAGGAATGATACGTTATTATTACATATAGGATTAATTTTATTTAAGTGGTAACACTCATCTCTTTATTTTATGTTCAATATATTCATTATTATCATTTTCTTACATTCTATTCTTTTGAAAAAATATAACGCACGCGTTAAAGTTGTCATAGTTTTAGCCAGGCAGTTTAACTATTTTCTATAGTAAGGAGATATATAAAATTGAGTAGATTGTGGAGTGGGAAATAGAAATTCAAGTAAGAAGTACAAAACTCCAACGAAATGCATTTTTTAGTGAAGTTAACTACTACACTGATTTACCGAGCTTTCGACCTGTTTATTCTTCGGTCATTTTCACGGCGAATGACAAAAAGAAAAAACGTGTACAGTATAAGAAGAAACAGAACGAAATAAAATAAAATAAAATCTTTGGACTTGCAAGTCTAAGTTCGAAGAACTTTTCACTGTCACCATCGATGTCCCCCAGTTAGGATAGACTTGCAAGTCCAAAGATTTTATTTTATTTTATTTAGTTCGTTCTGTTTCTTATAGTATACATATTTTTTCTTTTGTCATTCGCCTTGAAAATGACCGAAGAATAAACAAGTCGAAAGCTCGGTAAATCAGTGTAGTAGTTAACTTCACTAAAAAATGCATTTCATTGGAGTTTTGTACTCCTTACTTGAAGGAGATATATGATTAAACAGTATAATATTCTTTCTTTATCTTTTCTTGTAATTAGTCTTTGCATAACGCCGCTCTAAGATAGTAACTTCTCCCAACATGAAGAATTATTAGAATTTTAAATGAGATAATGCTACAATTTCATTTTTTCGATTGATGTTGTTTCTCCAAGGTCTTATTCTTATTGTATTTCTATAAGGTTAAGAACAAAGAATATATTTTAGATTTTTGAATGTGCATAGGTGCGAAATAAATAAAAAGGTAAGTATTTTCTCTTTGCATTTTGTTTATTTATATTTTGTTATTACGATGTTTTCTCTTGGTTTCTGGTGATGGGACAACAAGTAGCCAAATTAGCGACTGTTGATTTTAGTATTCAGTTTGTTGGATGGATCATATCAACCTTATTTCACACAGAAAAATTTTATGATCTTACTGGTAAGTGGGTTTTTTTATTCATAGACGTTAGTCTTTCTTGAAAGATACGGTTCCCCCCATTATATGTTCCTTTGCATACGACGACGAATGAAAAATATTTAATTTTAATTTCTAACAAATATTTTAATATTTCTAACAAAGACTATAAATCAGCATAAAAGTAATTTAGGTTTCTATTCGCCATTGTTCTCTTCACTATTGGTTTTATTGTAGGTTCGTTAACATTTATCGCATTAACATATCTTAGTTTAAATAATAGTCGACGTTATTTAAGACAAAATGTACAAAGCACATGCGTATTTGTATGGGCATTACGGTAGACAACTCTGGTACTTCTGTTTTCATGTACTATTATTTTTTTTGAACTATTGTAGGCTTGGTGCATATTTGTTTTATCGTATTCTTCAAACCGGAAAAGATGCACGTTTTGATGAAATAAGAGATAGTCCAGTGAAATTATTTGGTGTCTGGATGATGCAAGGTAAATGAAGTTTCGACTTTTATATCGAGCATAACACTGTCTTATTTAGGCGTATGGGTACTCATCACTTTACTGCCTACAATTTATGTTAATCGACAACGTATTGATAGAAAAATAACCACAACAGATTATCTTGGCTGGAGTATATGGTTATTTGGATTTTTATTTGAAATTATTGCTGATGGACAAAAATATGCATTCAAAAATAATCCAGCAAATAGAGTATGTAGAGCAACTGATGCACCTGTAGTATCTTCTAAATGCGATTCATGAGGCTAAAATATAAAGTATGACGCTGCGATACAATCACATGCGAGAAGCACATCCCCCCAGTACATATTTGACTCATGCCTTTTCTTACTGCGTTTTTCGCAGTTTTTATTGGCTTATATTGTTTTCTCTTATTTGCTTCCTGTGTTTCAGGATAAATTTATTGATAGTGGTTTATGGTCGATATCTCGACATCCCAATTACTTTGGTGAAATCTGTGCATGGTCTGGTCTCTATATAAGTTCATCTCATATGCTTCAAGGTTTTGAACATTTGTGCGCATTATCACCAATATTTGTTACGTTAATGATATCATTTTTGTCTGGTATACCACCACAAGAACGCAGCGCAATGAAAAGATTCGGTGGCAATCCTGCCTATCGTTTCTATCGTAGTACCACACCAATACTGGTACCATTTATCAATTTTCCAAAATACTAATAAACAGCAAAGCATTTTAAATTTGAGAACATTTTATTAATACATAAATGGATATGCGTGTATATGTTATTTATATACAAGAAAATATTTAATCACGATTTATAAGTTAAGCAAATCGTCCAACAAACAACAAAGCAAGATTAACTAAACGAAAACAGGTGGTGCTCAGAAATGGTCAGAACACTTATCCTAATTAAAAAAAGATCTATATTCTATCTTAATAAGAATTTTCCTCTACCCATATATGATGCACTACATCAATCATATTTTTCAATTTTAGGTATCTTAGAAAAAAGATAAAAAGATTTTTTCTTACTGTTAGTGCAAAAAAGCTGAAATTATAGTAAACAAGTATTTAGGACTATTACTATATACAATTTTCATGGTTGAAGCTGTCTGAAGCTGTGGATTGATATGATACTGGCAGTAAGAAAGAAGCTTAACTTTTCAATTCGATCACCCTTTAGTACACCATGCAACAAAATATGGAAAGGTGACATTACTTATTGTACCATCATTTCTCTCTATATTTTTGACATAAATTGTTGTTTCATCTCTAGTTTTCCCTTCGGGATAGTAATTCTAATGGAAACTTAGTAAAAGATAATACGATATACCAGAAAACGCTGCACACCTTTCTATCAAGGTCCATCATACCGACTATACATTGAAATTATTCAGCGAATTCATCAAGTTCCACTGAAGACATTAGGATGATTAGCTGATAATAAATAGTTTTATATGAAAAAAAGTGCCGAACGAATCGGCAATCATTAGAGCTTGATAGTACAAAATAAGTTTTGAAATTTCAATGAATTTGATCGAAGTGAAACATATTCCATGTTATGTGAATCTGTTTGTTCTTCTACATAAAAGAAGAACACGTAAAAACAAGAGAAAAAGTAAAAAGCTTACGACACTCGGTATTCCAAGGCGGTCACCCATCCTAGTACTAACCGAGCCCGACGTTGCTTAACTTCAGTGATCGGACGAGAACTGGTGCATTCAACGTGGTATGGCCGTAAGCACTAGATGAAGAACTGAAAAACAGATTAACAGTGAGCACTTTCTCTTGTCAAATGTTTAGAATATGTCTATCATTTGCCATGTATCGAGGTCGTCACACGGCGCAAATATGTATTGCCGCCGAGGTACTAAAGACATTATGAACAAATTTTGTGATATGCTAACACGCTTTTTTTGCATCTTTGGGGTTTCGATTACCTTTGTATATTAACGTTTATTTCCTGGAGGATTTTGGTGTGCGTGATGGATTTAGGTGCGTGCCCTAGAGAAAACTGGTTTTCCAGAAAATTCCTTTGACTATAAAACCTGTTCTAAACATGGAGGTTCGAAAAGATAAGCCATTTTGTAGAGAACTGAATGCTCTGTCGATCAGCATAGTTGTGATTTTTTTTCAAGAAAATGTCTAGGTGAGGAAATTGAAATTAGAATTTTGAAAATTTAAAATTTGAATTTTTACGTTGAAGTTTAACTTTTTATGAATTTTCAAATTGATTTTCGTGGTCAGAGTCAAAACCTGCATCTAGTGACGTGCCTTCCGATTTAATTAGATACAAAATTTGTTTGAACAGTCCACAGTTCTCACAGTTCCAGTTTTACAGTTAAAAACTGGAACTGGTGCATACCTAGTGAAGACCTATTTACTTACAGACCGAGGTCAGAGATTCACGACCGTATATTATTGTACTTCGTCGTATTTTGACGTACACTGTATTACATCCATCGTACGACGTTGAAATATGACGGTCGTAACGGCTGACGTTCGGCGTGTTTAATGACAAATTACGACGGCCGTAATCATGGACCAAGAGTATCTGTTTCCTGTTTCTTTTTCTTGTTCTGGTCATCTCCAAGGTCAGAAGAAGAAAGTGATAACACCAAATCAAGATAGTCTGTTTTTTCTACCGATCAGACAAACAGTAGATCTTGGTCTGGCCTTGACTTTTTTTCTCTGATCTTGGTATTTTCTGAGGTACAGACACTGGTCAGATTCAAGACTAGACTAGGTTTTTCTTTTCATAATCATCGTTTGTTTTGCTAAGTCACGTTACGCTGTATATAGCGACCACTAATTCTTCGAAAAATTTCAAAGTTACTCTCATAGATGATGAGTAATATCTTAGAGATTTCTATGCTAAACAAGAGATATCTAACGACATTCGGAGTCTGGTGGTTACATTAGAAGGTCTTCAGAGGTCTCCAGAAAACTTTCTGGGTTTCTGGGAGTAGTATGGGCGATCTGCGAGGAGCACACCTAATTTTTAGTGAAAAGCACTTTTCATCGATTTCATTTTATTATTGATCATTTTAATTTTTAGCCTTTTCAAACTTGATTTTCTATACTCAACGTTGTACTGGAAATCCGAATGAAACGGTCAAGGTCGATGAAAAGTACGATAAATATTAAAATCTTGCTTATTTTTTTAAACTTCGTGAAGTTTGACCGAATTCTCATATTTTCATATTTTAATTCTTTTTATCGGAAATAATTTATAAAAGAATTAAAACTGATGTTTTCCAAGGTAACTCGATGAGCTCTATCGAACCAAATCAGAAAAAAGAAAAAAAAATTTTGCTCGATTTTTGAATTGCCAGCACTGTATAATTACCGCCAAAAGTTGTTCAAAATATTGTGTGCACCGAGTTTCGAGATACCAAACTTTTGGACATTGACCCTAGCACATCTCGATATGCTCTTTCAAATGAGACTAGTTTGAAAAGAATTCATTCCACTGACTGGAGGAAAAGCCATTTTTAAACTTTATCAGCAGTTTTGTAGCAAAATGCTCACCACGAGCAGTCGTCATAAAATAAAAATTTTTCCATGTAACCTTTGGATAGAGCTCATTTTGTAGTATATATGGTAGAAAAATCTCGACTTTATCTCTCATACTGGCTGAGGAAATTAAAATTTACTTTCACCTCTACAACAAAAAACGACTCTCTATAACGTGCGATACCTATTAGAAAAATGCTTATATCTTTTGAAAAAAACAATCGTTTGAGCTCAAACTTTCGGGCTATTCCTAAATGTGTTTGATCTTTATACTCTAAATGTTTGAGCGAAATCGGTAACACCTTAGATGCAACGTTTTGCTGTAACCTGTTGTATTTCTCATGCAATGGCTCCTAGGGTGAGAATGGTATAAATTTCATATCGGAATATCTTTATGTTCAAGTATAATAAAGGAAGTAGGGTTGTTCTTTCGAAAACGTACCACGTTTACATCGACTTTGTTCCAACAGTTCGAAAGTAATAGGACTAGTACAAGTCGAGCTCCTGATGACGAATATCACGCTTAAAAATTTTTAAAACAACGGCATCATGGTCTTCTAGACCTGTAGGGATCTCATTTCCCAGCAGAACAGGCCTTTTCTGGGCATTTTCATCATTTTTCAGCGAAACACTTTCATGAGCTGGTACTGTCAATACATATTACAATCTATATGTCCAGCTCTGCAAAATCCCTAACAGACAAAAGTTCCAAAATGTTAAGCACGTTCTCAGGAGAGGTTTTAAAAAAATCATTTTTTCCGAATAGTAAGCCTCTTTTGTAAACCATACTTCCCCCATAAAATCATGTCAATACACAACAACAATAAATGCATTCAACGCATCTTTTCAAGCTCTATCCAACGAAGTGGTTCTCGCTGAGATTAACAACCATCTAATGATAGAAAAAAACAACTTTTCGACGCGGTTTTTCTCGTTTTTCAAAGTTTGAGTACGTGCTGCGCTAATGTATGGCGTATATTTCGCACGTACGCGACGTGGGCTATTAGAAAAACAGGCTTTTGCATTTGCCCAAGCACTTTTGAAATAGACAAAAATCCAGTTGTATTTTTGCTGGAAAAACACTTTTTCCGAATGTGCTTGGGCAAATGCAAAAGCCTGTTTTTCTAATAGCCCACGTCGCGTACGTGCGAAATATATGCCATCCCACGCCCTGCAATCCTGTGGAATGGTGCAGCACGTACTCAAACTTTGAAAGACGAGAAAAACCGCGTCGAAAAGTTGTTTTTATTATCATTAGATGGTTGTTAATCTCAATGAGAACCAGGTCATCGGATAGAGCTTGAAAAGATGCGCCAAATACATTTCTTGTTGCTGTGTGTTGACATGATTTTATGGGGGAACTGTGGTTTACAAAAGAGGCATTGAAGGGAAACCGAGAAAAATCCTAATGAACACCATTGAAAATAGTAAAACATAAAACTTAGTAATTTTTTTAACAGAGTAGATCCCCAAATGGCCTCAAGAACTGCGTCTAAAAGTTCTTAGTAACAGCGACACAATCATGCGACACACTCTTTTGCGACACAATTTTCTCACAGGAGCTGCAACACAAAATGCGACACAATATTTTTTACTCTGTACGTGATAATGTTTCCATTTTGACTCTTTGTTAAGATTTTCTGGTTGTACAAAGAAATGCATAGATCATTCTAAATGCACCGTTTAATAGCCCAATTCGTTCTGAGTATTGATATTGGTTTTAAATGTGTAAGAAATAGTTTCTGTTGTGCTGACAGCATTTTGTTGAATCGTTACGGTAGAAAATTTTGAGCATGAAAATATATTTTTCGTCCTGAAAATAGGAAGTTATCCAAAAGCCAATGTGATATTCCGAATCTGCGGAAAAAGCTGCAGCTATTACATTTGGTTTTAGAAAAATTTCGAAAAAGAATTATCAAAATTTTCTAACAGATACCTAATGGTCGGAAAATCCATAGTTAGAATTTCGGAAAACTGAATGAGGTATTTTCTTCACTATGTCAAATAACACATAATCGAATGGTTTTCATTGAAAATATTTAGGACCGAAAAATGGTCTTATCCACCCCTTCCCTTTCAGAATATCACTTCATTTTCGTTTATCTGTTTGCAGTTAATATCAGAGAGATAAGTATAGAATTAAAAAGACTAAAATAGAAATGAAATAAATATCTCTTAATATTAACGTAGTTTCAAGAAAACTGAATGAAACTATCAATACGTGTAACGGTTTTAAAACAAATTTAGTATCATTCACAACAATGATGATGGAAGTTCTAAATATACAGAAATTTGTATGTTAACAACTATCAGCATTGCAGTCCTACACATCTAGTTCAATTATTTTCATATGTTTTATGTATTTAGGCAACAAGTACAAATGGTCAACAGGGGAATCGTCTAGTAATTCAGAAAAAGAAGGGTGAAGAATCATTTTCTGTGCGAATCAGAGCTCTTTTGAACGTGCATTTTTTTAGTAATATTCGATTGATTGTTTCATGGAAGTACATTTAGACTCGTTTATCGTTCTGGAGAAGTTAAACTTTTAATTGAATGTTTCGCATTTCTCAAGTAAGGAACAATTATATGTCAATCTATAGTACTTGAAAAAAGCTATAAAACTGTATACGAACTACTGAGGAAAAAGTATAATAAGATAGAGTAGATATAGAAATACTATTCTCTAAAAAAAAATGGTTTTTTTACAGAACCGGAGAGGTTTCGTACTTAATAAAAAATATCAAAAAGGTTTCACAGTTGGTTCCCGAAACTAGCAGGGTTCCGTAACAAATAAGTTGCCTATTGTTTATCGATATTAATCACTTTTTCCTTCGTTTCAATTTTTTTCACAATGAATAAAGTTATTCGAGCTTCCAGACTCCAAATAACATCCTTCCAACGTCAGTAGCATTACCTCATATTAGGTTTCATTTGTGTAAAAATGATTATGATCTTCCGATTAGTTAATGTCTTCCATATCGAAAAAGTTATTCCGGCTTATTTATTGTCGTCTGAACAAGATGTTAATGTGCTGTGTTGAACCTTTCAAAAGATGAATTCAGCAAGTTTGTGTCTGTTGGTAAATCAAATTTAATGACTTTTTTATATTCTTATTTAAACAAAATAACAACAGCGAGAATAAGAACAACATAAATTAAATGTCGCGTTCCATTTCTTCTGCAAACTTCATCTATACTGAGTTCCAGGATTAATTCGTTCGAACTTTTCTTTGCTTTTCCTTTTCGACTAAAGTAGCTAGAAGAAATCAAATAACAGATTCGAATGGCTGTAAGAGTTTCCAGTTAGAAGCAGTGTGTATAAAGGCTCTGACAACATTTCGAGCAACATTCCAAGCTTGTTGTATATACGTAAAAATTAGGTGTGCTCCTCCCACATCGCCGATACTACTCAAAAATCAGTAAAAACTCAGAAAGTTTTTTTTCTGGAGACCTCTGAAGACTTTCTATTAACATTAAATTAAAAGTTTCAGTCTAAAACTTCTCGAGAACGATAAACGAGTCTAAATGTACTCTTTTGAAACAATCAGTCGAATACTACTAAAAAGATGCAAGTTCAAAAGGGCTTTAATTTGTACAGAAAATGGTTCTAGATCTTCTTCCGTGTTCATTGTTATATTGACCCCAGGACACGGAGAAAAATAGAACTTCATTCCATGATTATTAGCAATGAAGCAATGAAGTAATAAATTTCTAGACTAAAGCCTCTACAATGATTAGATGAACACTTCTGTATTCATGGGATAGTCACAATTAGTACGCATAATGTCATGCTGGGTATGCACCCCGTGCACACGCGTCCGTCATGCGTACAAATCGAAACGGACGTCACGTGTACATTTCGTACAAAGAGTGACGTTCGTTTACAACGACCGTAGCGGTTGATCTGAGGCATTTATGCAAGTGATGTCATTAGTTATCGGTTAATGATCTATGACGACACCCGTTTGTGACATATTAATTTGCAACACATCTTTTCTATTGCACTTGCGACACGATAATACGACACATTATTTTTTAGAGTTTAGTAATAAATAAACAACAGGAAAACAATTTAAAGACGTCTTTTTTCTTCACCAATGTCTGTATCTATGATAATAATGTAGTTGTTCATTACTCGCTTGTTGATCAAAACTCCGTTTTAACACCTTCTGTAGGTTTGTCTGGTTTACGCATTATTTCATCCCTTTTTCCACTTAAACCTTTTTTGATAATTTCCATTGTTTTACCTAATGCGGGAATTCTCATTCCCGGTAATCTAAATATTTTGAGTTGTGATGAATTATTGATTGTCCAGCATAATAGAAAACACAAAATTATCAAATATTTTGTATACATTATAACTGGTACCAGAAAAATTTGTACTTCGTTGATAATCTAAAAAATACAAATATACAGCAAATTTATTTTAATTATTTGTCGAAAACACAAAAAGCTTCATCTTTAGTGTCAACACGTTTTCTATAGACTAAACAAAGAAAGACTATAAAAATACGGGATAAAAGTTGGTTCAATCGCGGTTTGATAATTCTGAATAATGGATAAAAAAAAGAGCAAGAGCCATTATATTTCAACCAAATTTTCAATGAAAACGTGTTGTCTCGAAGATACTTTTGGAAAAGGGTAGTACACCTCAGCAGAACTTTTTTTGTCTAGATCTCAGCTCCGCAGTTCTTGATGCGGTCCTGTGATTTCTTATATATCTGTTAGTTATTCTGAACATGATTATGTTTTTTAAGGATTCGAACATTCAAAATTGTTCAATAAGAACTTCATCGATATAATAATGGTACGTTGGATTGCACTATGAGAAAAACGCAATTATAGTCTTCTATCGAAGACATTCATGTTAAAAGGTTTAAAGACTATTTATTCTCTTATTGAACTGACCTAGAAACACATTTTTAACTTTGAAGTTAAATCTATTTTAGACTTTGAGTGTAGTCACAATTTGAAGGTTATATAGATTTCTGACAATAAAACCTATAAGACGTTCGAAAACAAAAGGCTAATATTGAAATTCTAAATAAATATTTTTTAGAATAAAAATATCATATTTTTATTATTATTTAACAGTTATGGTTAGTTATTTTTATATAGTTACTTTCCTCGAACGTCGCAAATTCTTATTATATTTTTGATTTTTGACCAAGATGACAAACATGAGACATATTTTTTTTCATAAACACAAACAAAAACAACGAGTGTGGGACTACAGTATATAACAAAATACAATATACTTTTTTAGAGGTAATGCTTTACCTGTTGCAAAAAAATATGGAAAAAAAATCAGTTTGTTACGCTCTGTCAAACCAGGCTATTTATTTAAAATAGTCTGTCCCTCGCGCCATGTACCTAGTGCAAAAAATTAAAAAAGCTTTCTAATTACATTATACCGTACCATAGGATTAAAGCAAAAAGAAAACAAACCTCGTGTTATAATTAAGCTTAACCAACCTAAGTATAAAATCAATAACAAAAAGAAACTATTTATAATTATTGGTAGGGAATGATTTATGAAGAAAAAGAAAAGATCGATCAAAATTTTTACCATGAGATATTTTTTTGATAGTAACAAAAATTGCATTTAGCTAGGGTGAGGTAGAATTATAGATTTTGCATGAATAGCATAGGAAAAATATCCACTACGTAATTTGACAAGAATTCTGGAAAATAAATTTCTTTTTTAGTAGGATTAGGTTTAGGACGGATATGGATATGATAGCTCAGATTGCATCTTTTCTACTTAATTTATTGTTTTCATATGAGTGAAAAATCATTTCAGCGATTCAAACCTTCAGATTCTAACACAGAAATTCTGATATTCTGGAGTCCTTTAAACTGATTTAAAATGATAACTCATAACGGTATATTGTATCTGTATGATTTTGCTTTTTATTCAAACGATAGATCTTGGACCATCATAGTTCGATAATCCTGTCATTGTACATGATGGTTCACATGAAAGTTCACTTTTGCGTAAGTCGGTCACATTGTGTAAAAGCCATAGCTCTTCATCTCAGTAACTTAGAGTAGGAGTTTGTCCTATGTATTTCTCAACATCTTTGAATATTATTTTTTATACAAAACTCAAATTAATGTGTGTTAGTACTTTATACTAGGTTTTTAAGTCCTCCCCCTCAACTTTTCATATCTCAAAGCGTGTTATAATAAAAACGAACGATAAAATAAAATATATACCTAGTAAGAAGCAGATAAGATAAAAGCAATACTTCACTTTTGTTATCGTATTAACTGTAGCAACGGCTCTAAATATGTTGCACCTAATGACTCCCACTCCATAAAATGTTTTGACGTGTGGTCACCTGGTAAACTCAAACGACATTTGTTTATGTATAGAATAATAAATTTCATTGATTTGTACTTCGTATATGCAGGTACGTCTCGAAACAAGAAGCAGGGAAGGCCTCTCCGATTTCGGAATATGACTCAATACAACGACGGAATACAACTCAATTCCGGAGCAAAAAGTTTTCGAATTTGAGAGTAAAAGATTCAAAAAGCAGGTAGAGCATCTCCTTCTCTCCTCCCATCGTTACGGCGTCCCTGAGTATATGATTTACACGCCCCTGGAGCTATATTTAAAGTTCTGTTTAAAAAACGTTATTATTTTTGGCTATTTCAACACTAAAAGAACACACGTAACTAGAATAATAACTCAATCGTTTTCTATGTGGAGTAATGTCACAGTGATTTGAAATTCACGCAATCTTTGAAGTAGAGCAAAATATCTTGTAATGCAAATCTTTCTATATTTTACATCCACACATATATCATACTTAAAAGAGTATACTGACTTTGTAAAAATATCTAACACAAATACAAAAATAGGATCATCCATAGATAAAATAAATGAAAAAAAAAACACAATTACACCGAGTTACAATACTGTAAACGAAAGATACATTTAATTTGCATAAATAATAAATCAAAATTTTTGACTTCGTCAAAAACCTTGATAGTTTCCAAATACATGTCCAGGATGACCGCCAGATGATGATGCCATACGTTGAGTATCATACTTAAATGGATATGAAATAGCGAAAATTTTGTTTATTAAAATAGTTTGTAAGTACTTACGCTGGATGAAATGGAAGAAGAAGGAAGATCTCGACGTATTCCTGCAGTAACGCCTATAAAACAAAAAATTAATCGAATATTGTTTCTTAAACAAGTACAATATTAACAAACCTGCGGTAAAATTGTGCCATTTTGGATTTGAAGGAACACCATGCGGTGCAATAAAAGTCGAATCCGCTATGTATTCTCGAGGATCACCACTTATACTTGCTCTACTCATTGTGCGATGACGATGTCCATCATTGTAGAAATAATTTAATAATATAAATACAATCATCAATAACAAGCAGGAAATACCATATAGAAGGAATGTTATGTCGGTTCCTTGAAAAAAAAATTCATATTGAGAGATGATTTAGAGTAAAACATAAATCCTTACCTATAGCCGATGCCAAAAATCCTCCGAATAATGCTCCACACCCTCGTCCAAATCCAAAATGAAATCCTTGTAAGACACCTTGACACGATAGACGTAAATTTTCTGGCGCTGCTTGAGATAAATAAGAACAAGCTGTTGCCCACACAGCTGCATGCGTCAGACCTGTCAAAGGCATATAATAGTTCACAGAAACCATCATTAACAAGATTATCGTTAGTGAATTGCATACCTTGAATAAATTCAAATGGTAGTACCCACCATGGACTTTTAAGAAATGATATATAAACAAAACGTATAGTATTTCCCAGCAAACCCAAATATAGTATTTTAATATGACCTAAACGTCGAATTAATTCATGTAAGAAAAAATAGGCAAATAATTCTGATATATGATTGATCACCGATGCAACACCTAAAAAGATAATAGAATTTAAATGATAAGAAATTTTCATGATAAGTAATACGACTGTTGAAAATCAATACAATTTGTATTCATTATATTTTAATCTTTATAAGCTTTTTTACATGATTCATTTATTACAATGATATTTACAAGGGGGAAAAACAGACTTAAATCCAGTTACGGACTTTCAAAGTCTGTCAAAATCCACGTAAGTCCAGGGATTTAGACGGCCTTTTATGGATCTATGTGGACTTATGTAGACTTCTAATAACTTACGTCGATTTAGATGAACTTTTCTAGCTTTTACAGACTTTATTAGACTTGAAAAAGTCCATTGCACTTTGTACTTTGAACTTCGGATGACTTTCAAAGTGCATCTAGATCCACGTAAGTCCATTAAAATAAAAGTCCAAAGTTTGCTTTTTCCTTCTTGAATATTTATTATGTTCTCACCAAAACCTTTACTTTTTCTTCGTCACTCTTCTACTATCGGATCCACATCACTGCTTTGAACCAAGAAGTGACGAGAAATAAGAAAAATAAGCGGAATATATGTATCTCTTACTGAAAATCTTGAGTCAAAATGTACCAGAAGAAAGTTATTATTTTTTTTGAACTAGAAGCTTAACATCTTGACAAGCAATAAAAAAAGGATCTTCGTTACAGACAATATTAATTATGTGTCACAAGAATGTGGAATATCAATTCGAAATAGCAAGAGAAGAGTTCCTTTCGTACTTTCATTACTATGGATCTTACACTATTAGTGATGGAGCTGTCTTTGTGTGGTCGCTGCCATTCTTTTCTTCTTTCTGTAAAAGATGTTCGCGATGGAAACAAAGAAGTAGTAATTTCCGATGGTTTCCTGACAAAAATGGCGATGTTTAGATATAAAAAATAAACATATTTAGCAACTGTTGTGTTTCCATCTGACTTAGTTATATCATCGAAGTTTATTTCAAGTATTTGATTATTAAGCTGTATCTCGCTTGTTACTGTTAATGAGTATTAATGATATCTCCTGTGTCTACGGTATTGATTCATACGTGAATCATTTGGGAATAAATTATCAAAAATATAATTTTTTTTACACAATATATATTTGAATCATGCGGCAACATATTATTCCTACGTCAGCACAAGGACCATAGCTCCGATCTAAATTACAAGGTCGAAAATAGCAATGGCGAAAAGTAATTAATTCTCTATCAAAAATAATGGATACGCGAACACGAACTGCAGCACTATCCAATCACATTCAATTCTATATAGTGTAAAATATATTTCTTCCAGTTTCAGATATCTAAATAAAATATTTTCTTCGTAGCACTAGAAATTAATTATTAGAAACTAGCTGTTGCAAATTTATTAGTGATAAAAGGAGGAAGTAAACAGTGTACAACGCTCACTATTTCAAGGTGAGTCTTCCTCTCTACTAGTACTCAATGATCGGACAAGAACTAGCGCATTCAACGTATTATGTTTTAAAAATCATAGAGCCTTACGTAATAAAAAACATCTCTATAAACTCACCGAATAATGTTGGTGAACCACCTAAATCTTGTAGATGCCAAAATAAAAATGTAAATACAAGTCCAACACCGCAGCCCATCCACCTGGAAATAATTTTAATTATAGTATCCGATCAACTGTTTAGCTTTAGAAAAACTTACCATGCTATGAATAGAAATGTTCCATGTTTAACGGTAGTAAATAATTGAACTAATTGCATTAATTTCATTGTTTGTGATGCACGACGTTGATAAAACGATGATGATGAACTATTTTGTTGTTCATGATTTTGTTGTTGTTGTTTTCTTAAGTTAATTTGCACTTGTTGTTCATCATTAACGATACTTTGTATATCTGATGGTCCATCATCATCTTCATTAATCAAACGTTGTTTTGGTGATGTATGATGAATTTTATGTTTAATATCATCACGCAGTGTTTTCAATGGTATACGTTCGCTTTCATCATAAGTAAAATGAAATTGAGTGGCAACACCCAAAGCACATGCCATCAACACACTAAATGTTGCAAAACAAATTGTATAATTTTTTTCTAGTAACATACTATTGGAGCCACACGGATGAGTTATTAATCCTTTTGATTGATCTAGAACAAATTAATGATCATCATTTAATAAATATAACTAACATTTTATTTAGGACTCACCTAATACTGTTGCTACGAGAAATATTGCTATACCCCATCCTACACTACCCCACATCCGTTGTCGACCGTATAATTCAGTATCTTGTCCAAGATACGTTAACGTGCAAGCATCCTAAAATAGAAGTTGTGTGATCTTTTAGTTTGTTCCTTGCTTGTTTTGTTCTTACCGCCAGTGTAATTGCTGGTGCACTGAAAAATTCACCAATAATAATCAGTAGTAGAAATACCATGAATACATTTCGTACATCACTCTTCAAATAGAGTACATCTGTGGCTAATGGTTTCACGAGAGATAAATTTGTGTGTGTTATCTGCATTGGATTACCCATCATTTTTTCCGTTGTTAATAAATGTTTTGTTACCTGTGCTTGAGTTGTTTTTACCGTGGTGTATGTTCGATACTGAGATTTCTCAATACTATCGTCTTCTTCTTCTTCTTCGTCATCTTCAACATTATCGTCTTCCGCTAATTTTGTCGTTGTTGTCTTTTTTGTTGTTGTTAGTGGCCTGACTTTTGGTTTTGTTGCTGTTGTTGAGACAATTGGTTCAATAATCTTGTTCATTTCTGCTTGAATCACATTTTTTCTATCTGTTTTATTTATGAATTCATCAAGATCAACTTTATTTCTTAGTTTGGTTTTATTGGCTGATAATTCAATTGCTCGATTTAAAACTGTTTGAGTATAATTTATATTATCTAATGGGATCCATTCTTGACGTTTTGAACGAATAGAAAATGTCTCATCAATATTAAATAAATCACGCTTTTTAACTGTAAGAAGCGTATTACCACCAACACGTTCTAATAGAGTATGAGTCGAATTCTGTCTCCAACACGAGTGGGGTGGCGGTTTGATAAGTCCTATTGATACAGTAAATAGAATCCATGATGCTAAGGCCATTAGCATGATGATTTTTGCTTGACGAAATCGAGAGGCAACCACTCCCCAAAATGGAGCAGAGATAAACTCGACAAATGGACTGAAAAAACAGATCAACATCATTTTTTCTCATCCTAGCGAATAATGACTTCGCTTACCGAAATCCCATTAGAATTCCACAATAAGATGGTCCCATACCCATTTGTTTGAAATAAATACTTAATAATGGAAAGAGTGCTCCAAATGCGGCAAAATAGAAAAAATAAAATAGTTTTGCTACCAACAAAGTTTGGTTGATATTCGAACAGATAGAATCGATAATATCACGTCGAGGTGTGAATACATTGTCGCCACCATTGCGATTAAATATATTACCTAATTTTGATCGATTATTTTCATATTCATATAGCTCAGTTTGCTCCATATCATTTGAGTTTGAGTATGGATTGGGATTTTGACGACCGTGTGAACCGGAAATATTCGTCTGTGGATAACGATTCATAATCGGATCGCTATTAAGACTTTGTGACATTTTGCAATTGATTATTTAGCTCTCGACATTGTACAGTGAGATGCTATTCCAGAGAAAATAATTATCTAAATTTAGTGACCCAGAGCGATCAAGCAAAGAGAGTATGTTCTAATTTCGAAAACAATCACAATTACTAGTTAATCTGAAGTAATAAGAGAAGCTAAAGTGATATTAAATTTTACTAACGTAATTACATTCACTAGACTATTTAAGACAAGAAGCTTGTTGAGTGTTGGAAACGAGATCTAATGATAACCAGAAAAAGTCTCAGCTTACGTCAAAAAACCGTCTTTTCTTAACATATCAATATTTTCTCTGTAGGAAGAGTCTCTAAGTCTGTGAGAAACACCGTCTTCTTTTTCGCAGGAAAACTAAAAAAAAGGAGTTTCCGATCAATTAGCACAGAACTCGTGATTTAACTCCCTACGTCATATATAAAAGCTGTCGTTCATTCAAGACAAACTGCAAGAAATATTAGTGCTCTTTTACTATAACGAAATCTCTGTGTACCACTCATCGTTTAATGCAACTTACTCTTATTTGTTAAATGAAGAAGATTTCTTTTCTGTCCTTGTTGTTAATGATGAACGTGTGAGCATACATGCATGTATAGATGTTTGTCTTATATTTTTTTCTTTCTAACTTTTTTCTTTTTCTCCCTGCTCATTCACATATTCTTCTTGCGACTGATTTATTAACCTACATCATTGTATGTGGCACTAGAGCTAAGCGTTTTTTTTTTCCGATTGATTTCGACAAATTTTTTTCTTCTTCTCTATTTTGAAAATCTTTTTTATTAATAAATTCAGCTTGCAACTATCATTTTTCACTCGTAAAGAAGGAAAAAAATCTAGTTTGTGTAGCGTTCAGAAAATGCCTTTTCTATTATAACATCCGTCATAACGTGTGATGACTTTGAAAACGTTCTATACACACACACACATGAGGCAGATTAACTTGACTAGCACAAAGAATTATTTTCATGTAAAAAACAAGAAATGAAGGAAAATCTCATTGATATGTAACTAAAACAAGATCATAGAACACAGATCTATATTGGAGGAGTTCTAAACGATACCTTTGCACGCAACACAACAACAACGAAAAAAACGATGCCGTTTTTCTTTTATAATAGATTTGATAATCACACGCGATATATGATGTTCATGTTTAATTTGTTAATTGTAATGATCGATGAGTTAAGACGAAATAGATATCCCCTTCTTTTTTTATTTTGACACTATATTTGAAGTTATTACTGATGTTTTTCTTTTTCTCCTTTCTTTCCGTCTTTGTTTTTTAAGATTGTTAGACAATGTAAATCCAAAATGACATCAGCATCCACGCACGATAAAATCATTATTATTATGTATAGAATATCCGCAAAAAGACAAAAGACGAAAGCATAAATTATAATTGGAAAAGAGAGTTTTTCTCTTTTCTTCTCTTTATGAACAACATTTCATTATAAACAATGTTTTTTTAGAATTATATTTTTCTTTTTTTTTTCTTTCTTCTTTCCATTATTATATTATTATTATTACTTTTATTATCATCATTTTTTTTTTTTTTTTGAAAGAAGAAAAATATAACCGACGTCAAAGCGCATATAGAAGAATTGTTTCAGTTTTCCTCTTTTTGTGAATATTCACAACAGTTCATTAAATTCAACGCTTTGTTCAACATACAATATATGTGGTGGTTTCTCTTATTTTTCTCTCTATCAACTATTTTTTTTCTGTTTTTCCTCTCAGAATATGAAATTCGACGATATCTGTTGTCTCGGAAAATAAGAAGTCACACAAAAAAAAATATCCAGCTTCTACTATACTATGTAAATGGAATAGACGAACGATGAGGTACTCGAGAGTCCCGAACAAACTTTCTTTCTCTCTGCCAAAGAAAAGAAGACGGAAAACCGATTTTCCATTGCTTAACGATAATAAATATATGTAACAGAGAAAGAGAGAGATTTAAGAAATACTAAATGTATAATTAATTGACATATACAAATAGAGAAACAAGAAGTTAAACGCACAAAATTGACTTGCGTGATATTTTAAACGGGAAATACAAGCAGACGGTAGTTTTAAATACATATACATTGTGTCTTTTATTGTGTCTGACGAGCAAGACTGTTTCGTGCCTATTTTCTATGCTGTGAAAGTCTTTCGATAATATATAAAGCGCAAAGGGAGTAATAAATTTTTAGGAAAAGTTTTTAACGTTAAATTTATTCTTTTTTTTTACTGGATCTAGTGTGCATCATAAAAAAAAATTTCAGATCTATTAAGGTTCTAAAGTTACCATCATATAGTTGTGCGTGCCAATATATACCTTCTCAAGTGCTCTGTTCTTTTAAGCATGCATTAATCTGTCAAGGGAGAAATCGCGTCAATTATAGCCATACAGAGAATCAGTGCGAGCAGAAGATAAGAAAGGAAGGAAGGAAGATTCATTGAAGTTTTTTCGACTTCTAATTCAAAGTTTCGCTTACAAAAAATCATTTTTTGTGTACTCTCACAAGTTTCTCTGTTACAGGAATTATACTATAAGTTACAATGTAGTAAGTATGGGATTCGATAGGTGATTCAAAACAGATGAATGTAAGTAGCTTGCTCAAGGCTGATGCAAAATTTGTTTGCGTCGAGTTTTTAAACAGAACATCTTCAAAGTATATGATGACCAATATTCCTGTTAGGCCAAGTTGTTCTTAACAACTTCTTGTTACTCTTTGATAAAGGTTAGAGCTAGCACAAACAAAGTTGTTCTCTCCAAACTTTCACATAATCTCTATTTTTGTTCTGTTAGTTCATCATGACTTATCTATAAAACAAACTTTTCTAACTGTGGATCAAAATGTTCACAGTAATCCCAGTGGAGGAACAACAAGACGATATTTTTTTTAATTGAACTTTTCATTTCTTGTATTGCTACATAATTCCTCACATACCAATTTATGTGGTATCATAGAACCAAATTTTCCTATAGCAGCAGCTTCATTTATTTTTGACGATAGCATAGTGTAAAAAATAGTGAAAATATGTAATTAAAAAAATAGTTTTCATGAAAGAAAGAGAGAACTGCCACAATAATTACAATTGTGATAATTACAATTTAGATTAACCATTCAAACCAGTACCATCTCAATTTGAAATTCAAAGGTCATTCAAGAAAGCTTTTTAGCGTTAATTGAATGATAATTTTCAAACAAAAAAAAAAAAAAAAAATGCAAATCTGCAAATCTGCATATATGAAACTGTGATATCTAAAACACTTTTTTCAGACAATCATGCGTCTGTCTATTGAGAAAAATATATTATTCTAGTTTTGGTAATTGACATAAAATAAGAAAGAAAACTTATTAATTTTTTCTTTGTGTCTTCGTAATAAGCCAATAATTAGATTTGTTTTTCCTTTTTAATGTTTGTACTGATGTTATTGTTATTTCTTGAATTAAATGACACAATAAATAGTGAGACTACGATGTTCAGCGGATATTAATTTTGTTAAAACAAACATTGTTGATGTTTTCATAATTATTTAAAACCATAAAAGATGAAAAATTTTCCGTCAACTTATTGAGTTTGATTAACAAAATGTTTCAAAATTTGAAGAGACTAACCTTTTCTTTAGAAGAGTACGAGAAATCCGGTATCAGTATTTCTGTATCTTACTGGAAAGAAATTAAGTGCTTTATAGTGACTACTTGGCCTCAACCGGTTAAGAATATATTCTAATAACAAGGAAAAGGCAGAGCCTTTGATAAAATGTAATATTTGCAGAAAAACAAAATTTTTCTAGAGGGTTTGCAATTTTAAGTTACTGATTTAGACCATGAGCTACTGCATCTAACAGTATGTGCAAGCGGTGCCCGAAGGGGAATTAATAATGTTGGGGAAATTTTTGAAATTTTGAATTTGTACGACATTTACCGGGAAATAAATCTGGGGAAAATGTATTAGCTCGTTTGAGAAAGTGATGAAGTATTCTGCACTTCTCCGACAGCAGAAGACAAGGTGATAATGAGTGAGGAGAGAACATACTGAGAGTATCCAGAAAGCAGGAGCCTCATGATGGTGTGAATTGTTCAAGAAGATTGATTGCTTTCTCGTTACTCACCGTACAGTTTTGATATTTAAAATTCTTTTCTGTTTACCAAATATCTTACTGAAGATTCTAATTTTTTATAGGCAAATTTAGAATTTGCCTCAATTATAATTTTGCGTATAACATATGGACACAAAATGAAATGTGTGTGGCACTTATTTCTGTAACACTTATTTCAAGAGAGTTGACATAAAAAAGAAACGTTTAAGAACAACTATTTTTTACATTGAAGAAACACAAACAACTCAAACTCAAATTGCCAGGAAATCAGAAAAAGTGCTAAACACTTATGATAAAATCTTACCGCCTCCATATATATCCAGAATCGGTTATATTTTCAAATATTGCGGTAAACGAGTGTAGAGTGAAGGCTTTAATGATGAAAGCTGTTGTGACAGCTTTTAGTAACATTAAAACATCAGACTCAAAGTTTTGAAAAACAGATGAAGTCGAAAATATTTACTGCTAAATTTCCTGAACGGCTAACTCATCGTTTTATAGCCTAACATTCCCTCAGCATCCTTTATCTCATATTCTATGGAAGGTAGACGTAAGACTTTGCTCAAGTAAATTTTAACTTAAAAGAATTATTTTTTAACATAATTATGTCTTCGCAAAATGCATTTTAGCGTTTTGTGCCTACACATTCCTGCATTAAACATAGTGGTATTGCGTGGAAAAACTGGTGAAATCAACTTTTAGAAAAAGTTGCAGAAATGGATCCTACTTAACATCTATCTCACTAATCACACTTAGATGTTTCATTTTAATGCTATAAATTACTTATATTAACAAATATTTAGTGTATCAATTTCAGCTCAAAGCTCTTTACACACATATAGACTGTATTGCTCTATTATCGGCAGAAAAACTGTATCAAGATCAGCAAC